GCAGCACTCAGGCCAGTGAACATACAAAAGCTAGTTCCCTTATTTTCCTGAGTTTAAGGCCCATCTTGTGAGAGTTTCACATCCCTGAAAGGGTATTTCTAGAGAACTGAGATCTTAGGATGGAAAGACATCTTCAGAGCAGGAAGATGCCCAGAGACAATAGGTCAGTCAAGATTGAAGCAGGTATTTAGGAGTCAATCTCAGAACCCAATACCTGGCTCAATTTTTTTTGGAGAAAAAGTTGATTATAAGGGAAATATCAATCTCAGAACCCAATACCTGGCTCAATTTTTTTTGGAGAAAAAGTTGATTATAAGGAGCCATTCTCACTCTCAGAGAGTGAGAATGGCTCCAGTAAAACCAATGTGATGGCAAGGAGTTCTTAAGTGCAATACTGAGAACAGAGATATCTCTCTGGCAATCTCAACTATCTCATTTCTTCCAACAAGAAAAACTCTTGTTGACTCAGCAGCCAGTTGATCTTCGTATGTTGCTCCTCTGATGCAATTCCAGAAACCACTTCAGGGCATGAAATGCAAGGTTTAGCTTCAGGGCATGCAAAGCCAGTTGGCTGTACCAGCCAAAAATTACTGTTACACATGTTGGTTTGTTTATTTCAGAGTTCAAAGGGAAAGGTATCCAGTTTGGAATAGTTTTGTTGCCAGAAGCAACAACAGGATTGCACTGGGTTGCACAAAAAGCTTATTCCTAAATACAAGATGACCAGAAACAAATAAACAGCTACTAATCAAAACTTTCAGTTGTATCAGTTGCCTGAATGACTGTGGCAAAAACACCATACATAGGAAACAGTTTCCTCTTTGAATAACATCACAAGCTGAAATCACAGCTCTTGCTTATATCAGTTTTTCATTTACTTTCCTATATGCATCTGCATGCCAGAATAATTCACTTTAAAGTAAGTCACTCAAAAAAAAATTACCTTTCCCGAAACAGATTCTCCATCATAGAAGAGAAAATGCTTTTCTACTTTACCATCTTCTGTTTTGATTTCTGCTGTTTTCCTTGTTTCGGCATCATTAAGAATAACATCAATCTCACAAGGAGCAGTGAAAATGCCTCCAAGAAAATTCTGGAATAACAAGAATTAGACAAGTTACTGCACAGTGGACACTCCATTTTAAATGTGGTATTTACTTGCAGCTGCACACTATACATTGGGGAAAGACATTTGTGCCCCCATGAAGTCACAAAGCCATTGTGTATTAGAGACCCAAGAAATAGCGATGACAAGAGACAGCTGTTCATCTAGCAAATAATTGAAATCAGGTCAGTAACAAGCAGTAACAGGTTTTACAAAATATATTTATTAAAAAGTACACAGTATAACCACCACTATTACTACTACACTAAAATACTAACAAATATTTAAAATGTTACTATTGCAAACACAACTTTGGTTTCTGTCACTACAAAGTTTCCAATCACTGATTTGGTTTTTTTTTTTTTTTTAAATAAGCATTTTTAAAACACACATTAAAAAAAAAAAATCTTTTTAACAAATTTATCCCATCTGGTTTAGGATTTGAAATATTATGCCAAAAAGAACCTATCTATTGCTTTATACCCACTGTAACTTACTGCAAAAACCGCATTATCAAAGAGGATCAGAAGTAAAAGGAGCAGAGCAAAGCAGAGTGAAAATAAACAACAACAGGGGATACAGTACAAGGCCTGGGAAAGGGGAATAGGGACTTTTATTTGTTGCCTCTTCCTACAGCCCATTCTCTTAGCAAATGAAGAGAGCACCAGCAGGTTCAAGAGGCAGGGGGTTGATATAATGCACACTAGCTACACAACTGTGCCATCAGATAGAGTGGATGTCACAAGCCGACCCATTACACTGCTCCAGGCACCAATCCATTAGGAGCATTAACTGTATGTCCTCACCTTACAACTGCATTCCCTAGGCATGAACTTTTGACCAGCACCAAACAAAAGAAAGGAGGAAAGATCATTCTTTGACCTTGCACAAACATTTATTACAAGAAACTGCAAAACATGTTAGCAGCCCTATGGGAAACTCAACAAGATTAGCACAATAGCCCACATTTTCTCCTAGGAATTTGGCACTAATCTGCTTTGATGTACTGAAGCAGACAACACTAACTCAGTGCAACTGTTTTCTCTCTCTCTCTTTTTTTTTTTTTTTGGAGAAATTACACTATGTTCTTTCTGAGAGCATCCACTTGAACTAGATGAAAACACTCATTCTCACTTCACCAATTCAATCTCAAAAACTGAGTAACATTCAAGACATTCCGGGGACCTGAAGTTTGAAATGTAACATCAATAACAAAAAGTCTAGAAGAAAGTTTGATCTGAATGCTGCTGCCTGGCAGCAGGAACACTGAGTGACTTTTTGCTTAGGTATACAAGTCAAGCAAAGACATGGTGCAATTCTGAGCCGTAAACCAGAGATTCACACAAGGCTAAACCAACTTTATATTTGCTCAGATAGCAAGCAGCCCTAGTTTCACCCAGAGAGATATAGTTAACTAACTGAAACCTAGTTACATCTACCTCACATTCTCACAAGAAAGAGAAGCAGATGACCAACAAGGTGGTCAAACTAAGACCAAATGGTCCTACAAGTATCTGCCAAGCACACATTCACATTAATTGCTTAAATAATTATTTATTTATTTATTATTAATGACTGCACACTAGAACCATCCTTGAGTTTTGGCTCCTGGTGAAGGGGGAGAGAGAAAGAAGAAAAAGTTTCAACAAGAAATCCAAATTCTTTAGACTATTTGAAACCATTTTTTTTCCTCAGAAATTCTGCATTCGTTCTCCAGATTAGCCTTATACTTTTCTTTCCCCCAAGCAAACAAGGAAGCACATTACCTTTAAGTAAAGGTTATACAAGATAGTCTCACAGCACCTCCCATACTGTGAAGCTGTAGCATCATTTAAAGCAATCAAGCCAGAACTAACAGTGATAATACACCACTTCTCAAGACACTGCTTATTTCAGTTGTGCCCCTTAGAGATTAGCCATGATCTCATCCAGAGAGGACAAGAACATATGGAATAAAGAAATCAACAGCTGGTATCTCCTCCAGTTGCTACCGAAGATAGTGCTGCAGGGAAACTATGCAAAACAAGAAGTATTTTAAGAAGCCATCATATGGCTTATTATGTTACAGCTTAAGAAAATGAAGATAACTAGGGTTTTCAGAAGCCAGCCAAACGCTAGGCTATGATCTTGATTTCATGCAAAAGACAGATGCTGAAGATTTTGCTATATCAGGACCGAAAACAATCTGCATTCCGTCCTTATGTTGTTATAGCTGTACTAAAGGACTTGTAGGACTCCCAGCAGCTAATAAACAGCGCAGGAATCCCAGCCTCAGCTTCACATGGAGCCTATAAAAACTTCTGCATGTCCGACAGAGACACATGTTAAGGAATCAACACACTTCAGAAACCCAAAGTGCATTGATCTAGGTGGTTCCTTAAAAATATGATTTATTTTTTTCTTCAAATCTATCGGTCCCAGCACACCAAGCACTTTGCCTAGGCCGAGCCTGCTAAGCACCAAGTGGCCGCTATTTCACCAGCCCTGAAGGATCACTACCAAGCCCTGTCATTTTAAGCACAGCCTTACGGGACCGCTGGAAAGATTCACTGATGTTTTCCAGGACCATTGCACGCACCTTCCCCAAAAGCCACTCCGACAGCAGCCGGGTAGGAAAAATGGAAGCGGAGTTTCACGGCCAAACCCCCACGTTGGCGAGGGAGAAGAAGGTGCAGGAGAACGTCCCAAGCTTTAATCTATAAATTATACTAAAAGCCCCCCAAACCGTTGTTTTTCGCCGCCTCGCCCCAGCGCTGCTCTGTCCCGAGCCCGCCCCGTCGAGCAGCGGCTCTCGCCTCCCTCCCTCCCTCCCCGTAGGGCCACCCTGCCCGGCCTCGGCCGCCGCCGCCAGGCCCCGGCGCAGCTTGGGGCGAGGCGGGCGGCGGGGGAGCAGCAGGCCGGGGAGAGAGGGGGCGAGCAGGCCGACGGCGATGTGGCGATGGGGAAGGGGGGGGGGTGTCACCGATCGCTTTGCGACCGGTCAGGAGGCGGGGGGGGCAGGCAACCCGCGCCCGGCCAGGCGGCTCTCCCCACAGCACAGCCCGAAGCCACAGGTGGGGAAGGAGGAAGGGAGGGAAAAGGGGGGAAGGAGGGAGGCACCGCCCGGCCCGGCCCGGCCCAGCCCTGCCCAGGTCGCGGTCGCCGCCACCGCCGCCTCAGGCGCGCGGCGGCCGTTGGCGGGTAACGGCCGTTAACGCTCGCCCCCCCCACCCCCCGCGCGCCTCACTCACCATAGTGCGTGCCCCGCCGCGGCCGACTCCCGCCCCGCGCGCCACCAGCACCAGCCGCCCCGGCCCGCGCCCCTGTCATGTGACCTTCCAGCCCGCCACGCCACGCCCCTCCCTCGCCGCACGTGACCGCCCCCCCCTTCCCATTCCCCGCCGCCTTCCTGCCGCCGCCCGCTCCGCTCTGGGGCCGGCGGGGGGGGGAGAGGGGCATGTCAGTCAGCGCATGCGCCGTGCGGCGGGAGGGCGCCGCCTGGCGGGGAAGGGAGGGCAGGGCGGCTCCCTGACAGGAAATAACGGCCCTGGTGGCGAAACGCGTTGGTTTTTTCGTTGTTTTTGGTTTTTTGGGTTTTTTTCTTGCCAGATTTTGTGCTTTTTTAAGGGGAACGGGGAGGCGCGAGGCAGCCGCTGGGGCGGATTTTAGCCTGAGTAGCTGAGGGTTGGAAAAGTGCAGGCGGCGCCCGCCACGCAAAGTTTTTTAATTTATTAATTTACTGACCAATCATAAATATATTATTTAATTTATTAATTCATCAAAGGTTTTTAAATTATTTCCCCCGGAGCACGGTGACATCCCCACAGAAAGCCCTTCCCCCCCCCGCTTGGGATGATCACCCCAGCCGCTAAAAGCGAAGAGCGCATTCAGGCCAAAGAAAGATTATTTCTTTTAGTGAGTGAAAGCAATAAAGACCTTAAGGCAAAGTTTTTATTGACCAGCAGTTGGTTTAAAACTGCTTTGTGGCCGCAGCATCAGGCCAGGCACTGCAGAAGGGGCGAGGGAAGGCCGCTGCCATGGCGAGGAGGCCGATGTCTCCAGGCCTACAGGAGCAAATCCTCCTCCGACAGCTTCTGCTTCAGCTCCCCGTCCCGTGGGCTCGTGAGGAAGAGGCCATCGCCGTCACCGAGCCCCGACCCAGAGGCTGGCTCCGCTTCCACCACAACATCAGACCCGGAGCCGGACTCCTCATCTGAGAGCGGGAAGATGTCGCCCAGCTCCTGGTATCTCTTCATCCTGAAACGCAGAGTGGCAGCTAGTTTATTTCAAACTCAGTGGTTTATTATCTCTTAAGCGAACACGCCAAAGCCTCGCAGTCCCGTGGATGAGCCATGCCGTGACAGGACCATCGGGATGGGAATACTGGACATTTTTGGGTGCCAGCACCAATGACAAACATGCAGCACATGAACTTACAGGGACGGGTCTGCCATGGGAGGGAGGATCCTGTTGGCTCCACCAGTGGGCATGTAAAACCAGGGCCCCTTCTCTTCGATGCAGTTAGCAGACCAGGCGTCGGGTCGGCACCTCACTCTCTTGTACCTTGCCTTCTGCATGGGAGCACCTGAGCAAATCAGCCATGTGTTATTCACCAAGACCTATTAATTTTATGAGCACCTAGTAAAGCTTGAAGGAGCGGAAGAAAGTAATTTGTGTGGCCCTCGTTGCTCAACTGCCAAAAAGTAAATTAATCCTGCAGACTGTTTTTCAAACGGCGACTGATATCCCTAAGTGACATTCCTGCTACGAGAGACGTCAGGCACATCTCACACACAGCACCAGGAAGTCTGTGGGAATTAGAAATGGAAATCCCATGGGAAACCACCACCTTGCACTGACAAGGGCTCATCCCTGGCTTGGGGCACAGCACGTCCCTGGGGAACCCACAGGCTCAGCCACCTTCAGCTTTCCGTGAAGCTGGTGGAGATATCTCAAGATCTCCAGAGGACAAGCCACCCTAGCAGAGAGCTGGCTTCTGTGCCCTCCCTTTCTCTGTTGGCTCCAGCAAGGGTGAGGACCAACCCCACATCAGCATTGCCTGTCTCAGCTTCGAGTTCCTCCTTCTGGTGGAGAGAGAAGGTATGCTAAGAACCGCCTTTCGGTGGGGCAGATTTGGGAATTATGTATCTTCTCAGGGCATGTCACCTGAGTGGAGACAGTTCAGGCGTCTCCTAGACACAACCCAGGGTTACATAAACCCACAGTTTCAGTTCTGGTGTCCCCCATGTGCCTGATCAGGGCTGTCGCTGAAAGGAGAATCTTCAAAAAATACCAAATGGAGAAAATAACAATTGCAAAGTATGACAAAAGCAGCGGCATTTCATCCTTCCTCTTGGTTTCATGCAATTAATTTGTTCTGAAGCCAGGTTTCTCTCCCTGCTGGCACTTCATCTATTTTTTCTTGGTTTCTTGGGAGTATCTTTCTGTAATTACACTTCTCTATTGCCCTATATATTTCCCTAATGCACTAGGTGACTTTCAGCTACCTCCTACACTCCTCTGTAAGAGAAAAAAGATCTCATGGGTATCATTTCCTGCTTCTTTTACAGCGTATTCATTTTTCATACTTATTTTCTCCTCTTAGCATACTATTAAGAAGGTTTTTAATAATCACAGTAGCAAGAAAATAACTGTATCTGAATAATTTGCAAATAATGTACAAAAAGTCTCTGAGTGATAGACACATAACAAAGCCTGCCATTGTCACAGCTTTGGTTTGGGTAGAAATGATACTCTACGTGCTTGAAAATTGCTTATCCTTCGCAAGAAACACATCCACAGGGTACATGTCATCATGAATCAACGTTTCCTTTTAGTTGTTTTACGTGTTGCAATGTTGAAGAGAATAAACCGTTTAATTTCCTCATACTTGCAACCCGTTTCCTTCCCCCACCCCCCCAAGAAAGTAGACGGTAGTAGTTATGACATGGGACCTGTTACATACTCTGTCTGTAACTACATAATGGAATAAGGGTACGTAACCAGACCACCGTGAAAGGGCCGGTTAAAGAAAAAATAGACCATATTGAAAATACACCCACATACAGCAACTTCTTTTATGAAGTCTTTTTCTTATAGGGGCTGGGAAAGAGACAAAAAAGCTCCGTTAGCAAAAAGCGCCTTTTCTTACCGTTCCCCCTCCAGAAAAAGAAATGTTAGCAAAAGAGGTTTTCTGAGTATATCTCATTACCCCTAGAAGAAGGTCAGTTTGAAAAATTCGGAGGCTGCCTACTTGGCCTACGCTACATAGCCCAGAAAGAGGATTACCGAAAGAACAACCGCACCATTTTACCTTGTGCTGTGTATCCCACAAAGAGGATTAAACAAACAGCCAGGAAAAGCCTCCCGTTACATCTGATAAGGAGCTGCATTTTGGCTGGCGTCCCCCTGCTCAACACCAGCTTTCCCCACGGCTTCACACTTCAGAAATACAACGGGGCGAGGAGATCGACTTTTAGAAGAGGTTTCCAAAACCTCAAACCCAACCCATAACCTGCGTCATCGCTTCCTGATTGACGGGAGTGAGACATCTACAGAAAAGCTCAATGCTTTGGCCTCCTGGCCTTCATTACTCAAAAAACAAACAAACAAACAAAAAAAATCCTCCACTGCCTTGGTCTTCTGAGCAGAAAAGGAAACCTGGAACCAACCAGCCCCACCGAAGGTGTGTGCTGCCGGCAGCTTGTGGTCCAGGTGTGCATCCCACCAGGGATCTTAAATATTCACAGTAGAAGTGAAAAAAAAATGGGAAAAAAAAATTAGAGAGTAGATCCTGGTAGAAACATGTCACCTCCTTTCTGAAAGGGCACGACAGATTTTCTTGGCCCTGATGGCTGAGCCAGGGCAGCCAGGTCATCATCACATGGTGTATGGCAAAGGCTTTGGGTGATACGTGGCTCTGAGAGGAGCCTGGCTGGGAAAGCCACGATAGCCCTTATATGGAAAGTGCCTTTCAGCTAGTTCATACCTCTTCCTTGCCTTTCGGTTGGGATTAAAGCAGGCTTGAGTTCACTTAAGAATAAATTACGATACGATGAGGTTATCTACGTGGTGGGAGTTTTTCTTAGTCATACCATTACCTGCTGGATTAACTGGGGCAGTGACGTGTGGGCCCAACGTGCCGCCAGCACCTTCGCCGATACAGCTGATAGTGTAAGTTGTCTGTGGTAAATCTATTTTTACAGGGTGGAAAGTCCACAGAGGCCCCCCGCGGGGATCCGGGCTGAGCGGTGACTTTCCCCAGGGCACAGCAGCGCTCCACCAAAACCCCACAAGTGGCAGAGGAGACCCCCTCCAGCGGCTCCTCACTCCAGGCTGGGATTTACTGCTGGTTTGAGCTGCACATCCCCGTCGATGTTAGGAACTGCCTCACGTGGGGGTTTTTCCAGCATGGGAAAAATAGGAGACTCAAACCAAGCAGGTGCGGAAGGGCTCGCGTGCAGGGGTTATTCCTACCAGCCTTTTTTCTAGTTCGTATTTTTAGCATCAAAGCTTTTTTTCTTGTCTTTTTTTTTTTTAAAGTGGTGCTCATCATCAGTAGGAAGCTGGGTGAACGCCTGCGGGGGGGTGATCAGCCTCCACCCGCTGAAGCTGAAGGTGCAGTAACACCTCTCGTTTTCCGCTGGTCACGGGTACATACCAACCCCTTCCACACCCCTCAGGCGTGTGCGGACAACTCCCCGCGTGGGAAAGCACCCCTCCAGCAGCTATTTCTGCCCTTCCCACCAGCCAGGGGCTTTTTCCACCTCAGCACTGGAAGCTCTCCCCAGGATGCTACCAGAGCGGTGCCCACCAGCGGGCATCCTGCAGGAGCTGGGGGAGCTGCTGAGGAGGTGGGAGTCACAAAACCCCCTTAGCTGGGGGGGGATCTCGCAGAGCCAAGTTATCTGTCTTGTACCATCAGCCCGTGGTGGAACTCGTAGTGCTGGCAGTTTTGCCACACGGTTTTGTTATTTTCTTCTGTGTCAGCGGTGTGCCTCAGGAAATGAGATTGCTCTACAATTGGTAACCATGGGAAGCCTGAAGCAAATTTTCCACTCTCTCGTGTCACGGACACCTGCTCAAATGGGGCCAGGAACCCACGGGGAGCTTCAGCCTGTGCCCTCCTGTCCTGCCGCGCTCTGCTAGTGCTCCCACCCTGCCAGCAAAGAGCTTTCCACCTTCCAGTGAACATGGAAGTGATACTGGAGACCTGGATCTGAAACACTGTGGGATGGGCAAGTCTTAAGAGTAAAGCATGTCCTTGTGGAGTGTCATGGGATACCACTCAGGCCATAAAATGCAGAAATAAAAAAATGCCATCTTGAGTTAGAGGCCCCAAGTTGCAGAAAGTAGACAGACACCCTTTTTCTGTTTTTTTTTAAAACAGAGAACGGCACACGAGCCATACTATATTGGAATGCTAACCTTGTAACATGCCATTGCATGAATATCACAGCTTAAGAGAAAGAGGGGTTTTTTTAAGTAAAATGTTTTACATCCTTGGAGAGGACAGCTACTGTACCTAGGTCAGCTACCCCAAATCTACCTCTGGTGAAATGCAAGGAAGGTCCACAGGGTAATATTCCTCTTGCATAGATCTTGCATGTATATTGGGAGACTAAACGCCCCAGCAGACTAAGCCTTTAAAAAGAAGGAAATAAATGAGGAGCAGATACCTGAGAGCACAGCTCACGCCTTGTCAGAGAGAGGACTTCAAATATTGGACCAACACAATGGAAATGTCACCATCGGTGCTCACCTCCTGGCTATGTTTTTGCATAAACATTTCCCACCCATTGCTCGCTCTCCTGAAGCGTTTCTTACAACTACCGCACTGAACTACTCTGCCATTATTTTCAAATCACATGCAAAGCAGATTAAGAGCTTTGCATTTTTCTGAGGCATTAATTTGGGGAGCAGGGAGGCAGGCAGAGGGAGGGGGGCTGCCTCAGCACTGTGCGCCCGGCCCCTCGACCAGACACCTGGGACTCTTCATTACGTGCCCAAAATACCTGGGAGTAGCCCCTAAACTACAATAAACCCTTCAAAATCTTCTGGTGAACCCCTCGTACCTCTCAGGGTTGTTTTATCTCCCAATGGGCTTTGGGAGTGATGAGTAATTTAGTAACATCACTAAACGGGGACCACACTGTGGGAGAGCCCGGTATGAGGACACCCATCCTGCTGTCGAAAGCAGGGGGTTTAGAGCCAAAAAAATAGTTGCAATGGGCACATTTCAGTAACCCGGAGGGGGCATCATGAGGGTGTTTCAGACAATTCTTTGGTGGACAACCTTTGCAGCCTGTATTTCCCACCAGCCAGTGGATGGGCCCTCATGGGTGCAGGGGCACCCACGGTCCCAGCACTTATCAGCCACGCACACAGGCTGGGTGATAGCCATCCAGGGTCCCGATAAGGAAATTTCTCATTCATTACTGCTCGGAAATCAGATAAACCCTAACTGCTGCAGGGTCACTCTGCTCTCAGGGGTCAGGTTTTCCCCCCTGCCCCAGCTGGCAGGAGCTCAGTCCTGGCTACCGGGGGTGTCCAGGCTGACCCTGGCACCCCTCAAACCCTCCTCCCCAGCAGCAGAGCAGCAAAGGCAGCAGCTGGCAAAGGCAAAGAGCCTGCGATGCTCAGCTCTTTATTCGCTCTGCTGGGGAAGTGGAAATAGGTATTTTGTACAGGTCACTGCTCTGGGGAACAAGCAGCACAGAAGAGACTGTATCTGCTACAAGCAGAGCTGGGAAATGGGGTCAACAGGGAATGATGGCAGCAGATGAGAAGAAACAGAGGTCAGGCACTGAGTGAAGGGGAAGGGGAGAATGTCTGAATGGCAGCTGTGTCGAACACAAGGAGCCCTTTTTTGGTCTCATGAGACCCCACCAAGAGCACTGTGTCTCTGGGACCCCCAACATAAGAAGGACATGGACCTGTTGGAGCGGGTCCAGAGAAGGGCCAGAAAGATGGTCAGAGGGATGGAGCATCTCTGCTGTGAAGACAGGCTGAGAGAGCTGGGGTTGTTCAACCTGGAGCAGAGAAGGCTCTGGGGAGACTTTATAGCCCCTTCCAGTACCTAAAGGGGGCTACAGAAGAGATGGGGAGGGACTCTTTATCAGGGAAAGCAGTAGTAGGACGGGGAGGGACTCTTTATCAGGGAATGTAGCGGTAGGACAAGGATTAATGGTTTAAAACTGAAAGAGCGGAGATTTAGACTAGATGCTAGATGTTAGGAAGAAATTCTTTACTGTGAGGGGTGGGAGGCACTGAAACAGGTTGCCCAGAGAAGCTGTGGCTGCCCCATCCCTGGAGGGGTTCAAGGCCAGGCTGGATGGGGCTTGGAGCAACCTCGTCTGGTGGGAGGTGTCCCTGCCCAGGGCAGGGGGGGTGGAACTGGATGGTCTTTAAGGTCCCTTCCAACCCAAACCATTCCATGATCTTGTTCTTTGGGAAGGCAGAACAGGTTTCTTCCCAGACACTTGCTGCCAAGGTGGAACGAGATCTGTTGGACCTGGACATCCAACAGGCCCTGAGCATGGTGATCTGTCTCAGAGATAACCCACGAGCTGCCCAGTTAAATGCCACAAAATCACCCTGACCCCTCTCAGCAGCAAGCTCCCCTCCAGGCAGGCAGCCCAGCGAGATCTAAGGGTGCTTTCTGCCACCAGCTCATGTTCAACCAACCTTTGGGGACTGAAAAGGTTATATCTTGGCTCAAAATAGCCAACAAAATTTATTCTGCCTCAAAATAGCAAACAGCTGGCAATCCAGGGAAGGAGGTTTGGGTCAACCTGTTCGGGATTCCTAAATCCAGCCCTGAGCAGAGATGAATTCTTAACCTGGGTGACATCTGAGCTCAGTGCCTGGCCCCTGTGTTCACTCGTACCCAGAGCATCGTGGCACACGCAGCAGGGCAGTACGTGGCAACCCTCGGCCTCTCGTGCCACCACCTCTTGCTTCTGAGGGCAGTATCAGGACCTGGCCCATGCAGATAAGATTCACATCTTGCAAGGAAACATTAATGCTCCCATGCATCGCGCAGAAATCAGACGTTCGCTGCCATCTAGACCACCAGAAGAGAAACTCCTCCTTTTTCCTCCATGATTAAGGCCAACAAGTGCTCAGGGAGAGATCTTCGCTGGAAAGCCACAGCTGCATCAAGATCGAACACAGCTGCTGGCTGACGGGAAGCTGCCAACGGCCTGTCCCCATCAGCCATCTCCCCTCTGCCAAAAACGTTAACCGAGCCGTGGGCCTGCCCTTCAGGAGAAGAAAAGCTGCTTTCCTTTGCACTGGGAGGTGTGATGCTTTCTGCTTCCACACACTGAACCCCCAGCCCAGCAGGAGGTTTTGGCAAATTCAGGACTATAGTTTCAAAGCAACAACTTGTTAAGACACGTCACGGCAGTGAAGGTCTAGTTTCTGGTTAGGGAGGCAATTTCAGTAGATGTCCTTCCTTCTTCAAA